TCTATCCACTGAGCCAAACCAGTTTCAGCAAGGCTGCTCTCTTACTAGCTTTTGAACCTGCCCTACATTAGCCCCCTAGTCTTCTTCTTCTTTTTTTTTTTTTTTTTTTTTTTTGTTTTGTTTTGTTAATCCTCCCCGAAGATATCCACCCCTGTTTTTAGATAAGGTGGGAAGGAGGGTGGGGGAAGAAACATTGACATAAGAGACACACATTGAATGGTTGCCTCCAGCACTTGCCCTTGATGGGGGATCAGGGACTGAGCCTGCATCAGAATTGAACCTGGGACCCTTCATCAGAATTGAACCTGGGACCCTTCAGATCTTGGGCCAATGCTCTATCCACCGGTTAGGACTAGCCTCCTAGTCTGGGTGTACAGATGTGAGACCTGTCATGAACCAGATCACTTAGTGACAATCAAGATCAGTAATAATAACAACAACAACATGATCAGTGCTGTAGAGGCAGTATTAACACAGCACTGAGTGGGAAAGTGAAGCCAGTCTGTGACAATGGGCTGGGAGAGGGGTGATGGGCCATCCACATGAATAGAGCATTTATTTATTTTTTAAAATATTTATTTATTATATTTTATTGATTTTTTACAGAGAGGAAGGGAGAGGGAGAGTTAGAAACATCGATGAGAGACAAACATCCATCAGCTGCCTCCTGCACATCCCCACCTGGGGATGTGCCCGCTACCTAGGTACATGCCCTTGACCGGAATTAAACCTGGGACCTTTCAGTCCGCAGGCCGATGGTCTATCCACTGGGCCACACCAGTTTTGGCGAATAGGGCATTTAATCAAAATGATGATCACGCTGTAATATGATATTCTGTTTTGAAACTAATCAGTGATTCCATACAACAGTGGCTCTCAAACATTAGCATGTGTCAGAATCTCTCAGAGGGCTTGTTCAAGAACCATTGATTCAGTAGGCGTGGGGTGGGGCCGGAATATCTGCTTTCTGACAAGTTCCTTGGCAATGCAGATCCCAATGATGTGGAATATCCCTTGAGGACCACTGATCTAAACATCTTTATTGAGTTGTGCTGGATGGTGTTGCTAGAAACACAATTTAAAGCAAATAGAATCTAGCTGTTCCACTCTCTCACACACACAAATTAGTTTTCTTAAAACTACATTTTGATGGCTTATTAACTGTTATACATTTTTCATATAACAATTTTTATTGTAAAATGTTTACTAAGATTTAATATTTACCGTAGATATTTGACAGTCAGACAACAGTTCTTGTGTGTAGCAAAAGGCATGCTTGCCATGTGCTTGCCAAAATTCTTTCCTTCTCTTCCTGGGAAGCACTCCTAAAACCACATTTCCTGACGCCTCTGCAGTTAGCTTAGACCAGTGGTCGGCAAACTGCAGCTCGCGAGCCACATGCCGTTCTTTGGCCCCTTGAGTGTGGCTCTTCCACAAAATACCACGTGTGGGCGCGCACGTACAGCGTGGTTGAAGGAGTACCCTAATTAAGTTAATAACAATGCACCTACCTATATAGGTTAAGTTTAAAAAATCGGCTCTCAAAAGAAATTTCAATCGTTGTACCGCTGATATTTAGCTCTGTAGACTGATGAGTCTGCTGACCACTGGGTTAGACCACGTGAGTGGATAGTGAGAAGGAGGGCTGCAAACCCTCCAGGTTTGGCCTTTTTCCTTTGGCCAGCCAGGTGCGCAGGATCTAGTGAACAACCCAGAATTCCAGGGGCAACAGATAGGAGCATTTGTTCCTGAGTCGTCACTTGCAGAAGAGACACCCAGGATTGCCCCGCAAGTGGGGGCACCTTTCAGACAGATGAGAGGGTGTACTAACAGACCTTGCATTGTGCTTCTGTGCCATCACAGCCCTGAGGTTTAGGGGTGTGCCCCCTCTGGGTAGCTTAGTGCCCCCTGATATTGTGCTGTGCCTCGCACTGACACAGAACACACTGAGTGAATGACCACTACAAATCCAATTTCTATCCCTTACATCCAACATTCAGCCTGTAAGTGGTCTTCTCACCACTCATTTACTCCACAAATACTCACCTGCAGGCTACTGTGTGCCAAGCACCGGTGATTGAAAAAACACACTCTTTCCATGCCGCCATGAAATTTACAGCCTTGTTAGGCATGGGAATAAATTAAAGAAATGTAACATTTCAACTGTTGTGAGTGGTGTGAATGCAGGAAACCTGGCACTATCAGGTTTTTTTGTTCCTAGTTAGGAATAAATGTAGAGCACGTGTAAGGTGTAATTACCATCTGGGGAAAAGTGACAAAAATAGCCAAGTTTGAATGTGATACAGCATAACATAAATCTGAATATAGCTAAGAGTCATCAGGTTTTATTGTTATATCTTTCCATTTATTAGTTTTAACTGCTGAATGGGGTGTGCTTCATAAATGTATGTGTGAAGATGACTGTGAAACTCTCACTTACCAGCTGTTAGCTCCCTGAGGACTTGCAAAAGTCCTTTACTCCTTTTTGAAAATCGGTGTTTATAATTTTCTCTAGTAGCAGTAGGTTCTTAGGATATTGGAAACAATTTACTGCTGGGCCAGAGTTTTACAATGAAGGCCTCATTTAGTAAAAGGTAAACCAAATCAAATCACTAAATACCTTCTTGAATTGCAACTTGTCATGCTGCTAACCACTTTGGCCTTTCTAACATTTCTCTGCTTAACAAGTAAATGTTGGTTTCAGTAAGCTCATAACAGGATGGATATGTGTGTGTGTATATGAATATAAATATGTACTTAGAGATATATATTTCACTGGTATCTGATATATTTACACACATATACACAATGTATTTATGGGGCGGGCAAAAGTATAGTTGTAGGACATTAAGTTTATTCTTGTATTCTTATTTATTAATTGTATTATTTTTCATACGAACAATTGTAAACCTACTTTTGCCCACCCCTATATATCTATATGTTTATATATTCTTCTCTTGTTTAAAAACTTGATTCTCATACTTCAAAGTGATGAAAATCATTACATAAATGACATTACAGGCATGGAAACTTTTTAAAAATTTATTTCTGTAGTTTGTACAAAAAAAGAAAAACAGTTGCTATTATTTTCGCATAGAGAACACTTTAGGCATTTTCAAAAGGGGTGGGTTAGAGCAGGTTGGTCACTAGACATGCAGCCAGGCTCTACTACCAAGATACTAGGTCACAGGTAATTTTAATAAGTTTCATTCTAGCCCGGTGGGCGTGGCTCAGTGGTTGAGCATGGATCTATGAACCAGGAGGTCACAGTTCTATTCCCAGTCAGGGCACATGCCAGGGATGTGCTGGCTGGATCCTCAGTCCGGGCATGCAGGAGGCAGATGATCAATGATTCTCTCTCATCATTGGTGTTTCTCTCTCCCCTTCTCCCTTCTTCTCTGAAATAAATATATTTTTAAAATTCCTTTTTAGATGAATTATCGGATTTTTAAGCTGCGAGTGCCCTAGGGATTTATATTCAAATACCCCAGAAAGGAAACTAAAGTAAAAAAAAAAAAAAAAAAAAAAAAAAAAAGAGGCAAAATAACTTGCTCAATACAGTAACTTAATTTGGTCCCAGACCTAGACCCAAGGTCTCCTAAATCGAGTGCAGCTTTCTCTACACCAGGGTTCTTGTCCTGCAACTGAAGGTCAAGCTGGATTTTCCTTAGTTCCTCCAACAATGCGCTTCTTCCCTCCGAGGTCCGAGTGTTTGATCGGATAGGTCTGATTCAGATTAAGTTGCCTTCTGCCTCCTCCTTGTTTCTTTTGTTCCCACTGTTCTTAGTTTTTACCATCAGCCCTGCCGATCTTCTGTCTCAAATAAAAGACACACTCACTTAATAACACCCACAAGGAACGTAACACCCACCCAAACTGATTGGCTCGGCGGAGGGGACAGGCTACTGCCCTTTCCAGCCTGGAAAAGGTGAAGGGGGACACACACTGCATCGCGTGGCCACGTGCGGGAGGAGGGGCCGCCTTTTGGTTGGTGCCCGAAGGGGCTGAATCCCACCAATCGGCGTGGGCCTCGCGGTGGAGGAGGGGGCGCGCTCCGGGGGTGGGTGGGGCTCGCGACCTGTCCATCACCGGGCCCTCGGGGAGGCAGCACCTACCACACCGCGGTACCTTATGGGGGCGGGACCGGGGCGCGGAGGCCTCGGCTGGAGAAGGCGGGGCCAGGGCGGCTGGAGCCAATCCGCGGCGCGGCGCGGCACGAGGGGGCGGGGCCATCGCGTGCGACCCAAACACACGGGCCCGGGCTCACCCTGGACCCGCGAGGCTCCCCGGCCTTCCGGCTCCGGGCTCGGCCGCCTCCTCCCCTCCCGGGCGCCCCTCTTGGGCCACACCGCCCCCCGCCCCTCCTTCCCCGAGGCGGCGCGGCGGCGGCGGCGGCGGCCGTTGCCGGGAAGCGCGAGCCGCTGTTCTTGACTCCTCGCCATCCCTCCCCTCACGCGCCACCCGTTTTTCCTCGTTCTCCGTTAATAACAGCTGGGCGGCTGGGGGAGGAGGAAGGTGGCCCCGGCGGAGTGTGGGCGGGCGCCTCCCACTCAGCCGCGAGCCGCCGTGCGAGCCGGAGGATGGCGGCGGCGGCGGTAGCAGGGGCCGCTCGGGAGGAGGCGGTGCCGAGGCCCGCGGCGCAGAGCACGGCGGCGGCAGAGAGCGGCAGCAGCCCGGCGCGGCGCGGCAGAACCGAAACCAGCGGCAGCCGGACCGCCACCTGAGCCGCCCTTCCCGCCCCCGGAGCGAGGAGCGAGCGAGCAAGCCCGGACCGTCTTCCTTCCCGCCGCTCCGCGCCTCCCGCGCCCGCCGTCCCCCCGAGAAGGAGAGCGCGCCGGCCGCCGGCCGCCCCTCGGGGCGCCGGGCAGAGGCCCTGGACGTGCGGGCTCCCCGGCGGGCCGGCCGCGGCGCCCCGGCCCTGCCCTCCCGCTCCCGCGCTCGCCCCCGCCCTCCCGGCGCTCCGGGCGCTGCGCGCGGGCCCGGCCCGGGGCAGGGCGGCCATGGGCGCCAAGCAGAGCGGCCCGGCCGCCGCTAACGGCCGCACCCGCGCGTACTCGGGCTCCGACGTACCTTCCGGCAGCGGCGGCGGCGGCGGCGGCGCCAATGGGACCGCGGGCGGCGGCGGGGCGCGGGCCGCGGCCGCCGGGAGGCTGCCGGCTCCGGGGCCGGGCGCGCACCAGCCCAGCGCCTCGGGCGGCGCCGCGGCGGCCCCGGCGGCCCCGCGCAGCCGCTCTCTCGGCGGGGCCGGGGGCGCTGGGGCGCCGGGGGCCCGCGCCGCGCAGTCCTCCCTCAGCATCCCCCACAGCAGCGGCGGCCAGTACGGCTCGCAGGACTCGGTGCACAGCAGCCCGGAGGACGGCGGCGGCAGCGGCGGCGGCAGGGACCGGCCGACGGGCGGGGGCCCCGGCGGGCCGCGCCTGGTCATCGGCTCACTCCCGGCTCACCTCTCGCCGCACTTGTTTGGAGGTACGGCCCCCCCCCCCCCCTTTCTCCCTCCTTCCTCCCTCCCTCCTCCCTCCCTGCCCCCCTGCCCGGCTCCCGCGGCGGCACGTGTGTGTTCGCCTTCTCCTTTTCTCCTTCAGCCCGGGCGCCGCGGGCCGGGCCAGCCTCCCGGCAGGAAGGTCGCCCCTTAACCCCCCGGGACGCCCGCCGCCCGGCCGGACCCCGGCGTGTTTGCTTTTCTTTACAACGGGGGACCCTTACCTCCCCGCGGCTCCCCTGCCCGGAGAGCCCTCGCTCCCCCCCCCCCCTTATCCCTCCCCCGGAAGGTGAAAGGAGCAAATGGTGTTTTATAACCACCCGGCGCGGCAGCAGTCCTGGTGCTTGTGGGTTTGGGTATCAGGAAATCAGGAGACCCGTTGCAACATGTAGTTTCTGTCTCGGGACTCGAGTGGCGAGCGGTGTTGAAAGGCCAGAAGTTAGAGGGTCTCACATAAACTCGAGGGTTTGAAAGCGGAGGGAATGATCTCCTTTGAGTGGTGGTTAATATGAAACTAGTGCTTAAGTTTGCGAATAGTCCCACCTACTGTGCACACTTGGATGGGATGGATGTATTCATGGGAAGTGTGTTTTTTAGCCCCAGTGAACTTCTGCTTTATATGCTGGCTCACGGGAGTCCTGCTCCATTGGGACAGCATCTGAGACACTGAAAAAACGGTTTAAGGGGAGGGATTGGCAATTGTCACAGCTCTGCCCGCAAGGTGCAGAGGGAAGCCTAGGCGCAGAGCAGTGTTGACTTGAGTTCAGGAAAAGTCACTTGTGAGGAATGGAAATTTTTAGTAGCAAAGTGATGTGTTTTCATGCAGGAACGGGAGGAAGGGTGCACTTGATTTGAGGAAAATGAGTTGGAATTGTTCAGTTATGTTTTAGGGTGATCCTCTCTACCTCGGAACAGTTACAGTAAATGAATCAAGACACCCCTCTCTTCCCAGTTCAGGGGGGAGGGGGGAAGGGGTTAAATCTGGTTAGAGATGCCGTAGGAGGTAAACGTTCCCATCTCATTGCATTATGTATCTTGATAGAACATTCACAACTGAGCACAGATAAACTGCTCACACCATCCCCTCCATTTCTGTGCCCTTTTTATTCATGGTTATAAACGTGAGAAATTTGAATAGACAGTTGGTAAAGTGGGATGTCCAATAATGTAATTTAGCTATCTGTGCTGATGTTCTGTGCTGTCAGCCTTCACGTTGGCATAAATTAAAGATGGAAATGTCATGTTTAGTTTTTTCCATCTTTTCAGTACTGCTTTGCACAGTCAGTATAAAACAACTCTTTACCTTATTTAAATAACTTGTTATAAAGTCATTTTGCTATGTAAATAAAAGTTCTTAATGCTTCCTAAAATTGGGCCAGTTTAAAAAATTTGTTTTTGTTTTTGTTTTTTGTTTTTTAAAGAACTAGTGTTTTCCTTCTTTTGATTTGAGTATAATAAATTAATCAATGCAGTTGAAGGTACTGTAATCACTACATGGAGGAACAACAAAAGCCAGTTTCTTGAGAATGGGAGATTAGTACAACAATAAAAGATAGCTGGTTTTAAAAATATTTCTTTTTTTAAATGAAAACTTGTATTTAGCAGTTAGGATGATCAAAAGATGTATGTTTAAAGCTTGCTAAAGAAGGGGAAGAAGGAAAGGCTTGTCAAATTAATAGTTATTTCTTTAGTATACTGATTACTGTCTTTTTTTTTTTTTTTTTTTTTTTTTTTTTAAGGGCTGATATCCTTTAACAAAGAGTCAGTATATCTGTATAGGTTTATTTTCTTAAAGTAAATGCATTCCAGTCAGAGCAGAGGGCAAATAGTTGGCACCCATGCTATTAAGTCATAGTAAATTAGCAAATGAAAAAGACCTAGTTCCTGAAAGTTAGAGAGGTAAAGCACTCATCCATTTTCTTATCTAAGTCCCTAGATTTTTGTGTTTAGGTTTTTTTTTAGTACTTTTGTGGTTAGGGTAATTGGGCCTAGCAGCAAAACCGTGAGGAACGTGTGGCAGTCTTTCTTAATTAGGTCTTTGTAGAGAATCAGCACTAATGACCTAAGGCATCTATTGTATGCAATTAACTTTTTCTTCTATGCATTTAGGAGGATTCTTGAAAAACTTGCTAAGTGCTTGTACCTTAAGCCCTACTTGAGACCAGAAGATAGAATACACCGAATCTTTCCAGTGACATTTGCTTCAATGAGATTTTTACCTCTGTTTCAGTGGATGAGTTTGTCAAGGAAACTCTATGGAACCATATTTCTCATTATCCTGAGGTTTAGGGAGCCGGATGATAATTCTTATTTAGAAATTAGACTTGACTGTATTTCACATTGATTTAATTTTTAGTATGTATTATAGAATTAATGTTTATTCGGTTACAAAGTGTACAAATGTGCATATATAAAGTAACTCCATCTGAGTAATGAGTAAAGGAATATTTCTGAATTAGTGGAAATTTATTACTGTAATTCTATAAAACTTATTTTCACTGATGTTTGCATTAATATCTCCTAATAAGGAAAATTGATACTAATAAGATTCAGAATTATTCTCTTATGGGCTGTCAGATAATTTATAGAAAAGGAAAACCTAAAGCAGTACTATGTTTGTTTTTTAAAATTTGTTAGTTTTAGCAAGGTGAATTGTTTCGGTTCCATCATAATGAATTACCAAATTAAATGAGGTGTTCTGTGTTGGTTTGTTTTGCTCTCGGACATGTATTTTGGTGATGTACACTCCTGTAATTCTCTCTGTCTAGAGAGAATTAGTAGAGGTGCTTAATAGAGATGTCTTAGTTTACAGACATTTCCTAGAACTGAGTTGTTGGATAAAACATCAGAATGTTATTATAATACAAACAGGGGTGTTTTTTGTTTTTGTTGAATATATTTGTAGTGATTTCAGAGAGGAAGGGAGAGAGGGATAGAAATATCGATGACAGAGAATTATTGATCAGCGATCCCCCTGCAGTCCCCCTAGGGAGGGATGGAGCCTGAAATCTGGGCATGTGCCCTGACTGGGAATCTAACCAGAACCTCCTGGTTCATGGGTCAATGCTCAACCACTGAGCCACATCGGCTGGACCATATTGGAGTTTTTAGGTGAGGTATGTTTTTCTTGTGTTTATGTTGTTGTTTTTTGTTAGTTTCAAACTGCTGAGTATAATAGTATTAAAATGAACAAAAGCTTTCTCTTGTCTATCACCTTTGTTTACAACAGGTCTAAAGGTTATAGTCTAATATTTAAAAATTTAGTATCTTACAGGATTTTTTTTGCTTTATTTTATGTCTACATTTTTTTCTGCTGTCAAGTTGCTAGTGTTCATAAAGGTAATTATTATGAGTGGTAATATCCAGTCTTTAAGATCCAGCAAGGATGAGGGAGCTAAATTGCACTATAAAAATATACCAGTGAACAGAGATTATTTCTAAAGAAATCATGTGGGTTTCTAATAAAATATTCATGAGTCTGAGAGTGAAAATGTAAGATGAATTAATCTAGACTATTAACCGGTGGGACTGGATTGCTTTTGACTTCTTCCTGATTGGCTTGAGTTTGTTAGGTGTGGTGTGCCCCTGAGTATTTCAGTAGGCTGATTGTAATTCAGGTGCCACCTGTTATCTAAGGAACAAGCTTCTTTATATGGAAGGAATGTGGGTTATCTCTTAAAACTGAATATGTCAAATAAAATCTGTATTTTTAGGCAGATTGATTTATCTTAATCTTCAAGACAGATGTGGGTTTATTGTGATTAATCTACTTCCTATTCTTGAATGTTCTTTTATTCAATTGAAGACTTTTTATGGGGTGTGACAGAAGAAAATGACACTTTTAATGATAACTCATCACTCCCCCAAAACAACTCTGATAATTTGTGTTTCTCACTTGTAATTCCACATAGTTTAAACTCTAGGTGATACTGTGTGTTTTATGACTTCTTTAAATGCTAAAGTGTGGAAGCTAAGTTTCGGCTTTGGGAATGTTTTGACAGTGCAAGGTGGATGGTGGGCTGCTGGAAGGTGTGTTTGTGTTGCACTGGACATCATCTGATAGGAGCTGCCTGGCCCAAGTATGGTTGGTGTTCTGCTGGCTGCTAAGCCACTAAGAGCTGTGCTGTTTCACCAATAGATAGTGTCTCCAGCAAGTCCCCTTGCCCCCTTCAATATGATTGTTTTGCCTGGTAACTAGTAAATAGGTTCTTATTTCCTGGTTACCAATAACATTAATTAGATACCAGCTTGTGTCTATAAGGAGAATTGCCTTAATGTTATATTTGTTTTATATACTGGGTATAAATACAAATGGGTATATTTAGTAAATAGGTTAAAAGAGAAGTATAGAAACTGCTTTATGTAGCAAAGTACTTTCTAAATGTTTTAATTTTGCATGTACTTGACTGGCATTAACTAACGAATTAAGTTTGTTTTATACTTAACAGTTTAGAAATTGGGGAAAACATGCCCATTGTATGAATAAAAGGCTCAAAAATACCTTGTGTTAGTTTATGTGATGCTTAATAAATTACTACAAGTTTAGCTGCCTAAAACAGCATATATTTATTTATCTCATAGCTTCTATGATTTAGGAGTCTGGGTGCAGCTTAACGTGGATTCTCTGCAAGAATGTAATTAAGGTGTTGGCCAGAACTTGAATTGTTATCTAGAGACTCAATGGGTATTGGGTCTGCTTCCAAGCTCCCTCTCTCCCTCAGGTTGTTGGTAGAACTCATTTCTTCATAGTTTTAAAGCTCAGGACAGCTTGCTTCTTTAAAGATAGCAAAGGAGAGCACCTAGCAGGGTGAGCTGGTGCTGCACTTTTATGTGAATACTAGAGTACTGGTGGGGTCCCTCGGCCTAGCCTGTGGGGATTGGGCTGAAGCTGGCTCTCCAACATCCTCTGAGGGGTCTCGGATTGTGAGAGGGCACAGTCTATGCCGAAGGACCCACCTAGTGCACAATCGGGATGAGGGAGGGATTG